CAGGAATTAAGGGAAATAGTTCAGTGTCAGGACCTTGCAGCAGGTCCTCCACCTCCTGTCGGGTCTGTGCAGGCACTTCAAGATAAACCCCATCAGGAGTACAGAAAATAGTGCAACGTAATCTGCACAATAAATCTCTTCCTAATAGATTCACAGGGGAAGTAGGACTTAGGAGAAAGGAATGATGCTCAGAAATAGGTCCTAGTACAAGAGGCACGGGTTTAGAAACAGGGTGAGGCACGACTTGATTAGAAATACCAACTGCATTAACAACCTGGTTAGAAATAGAAATAGAGAAAGAAGACGCTTGGAGAGTGGGCCTGCTAGCACCTGTGTCTACTAAAACCTGGGTGTTTTGTCCAGCAACTTGGCAACTGAGGGTGCCATCAGAATTTAGGGGAATAAGCAGAGATAAAAGGGAGAAGTTGCAATCCTCCTCTGGACACCCCTATTGACTCTCAGCCGTTGCTAAAGTAAACTGACCCTGCGGGGGTCTGAAAACTACAGGCTCTGGCTGCATGGGGCGGTTTGGGCACTGACTTTTCCAGTGTCCTGGCTGTTTGCAATAGTGACAAATGTTTGCATTTATCCTGGGGTTGCCACGGCCGGCAAAATTTCCAGACCAGGGTGAGCCCCGTGACTGTCGTTCTATGGGACGCTCCCGACCCCTGCCTGTTTTAGTAGGCAGTGATTGCAGAACTATAAGCTTAGGTTCTTTGTCTTGCTTAGCCTTTATACATTGTCTGCAGTGGTTTGCCACTGTCAGAAGATCCTCTAAGGGTTTAGTTTCCCAGCCAATGGTTATCTGTTTTAACAGGGTCTGAATAGCAGTTTTAACAGGGTCTGGATAGCTGGATCCAGTCCAGTAACAAAAGCGGCACCCAGCGCTTGCTTGGCAGTGTCAGCTGGGTTTTCAATGCCAGAGTGCCTTTCAAACACTTTAGTAAGCCTTTCTAAATAGGCACCTGGTGATTCATTTTCTTCCTGTTTGCAGGTGCTAATTTTAGCCCAATTCGGAAGTTTGGGAAAGACTTGAAGGATACTATCAAGCAGTCTATTTCTAGCTCGGGTGAGAGCTTCTTTATTAGCTGCTAAATCTGGGTCTCCTGAAATAGGTCCAGGTGGCCAGCCTGCCTTCTTTAAAATCTTTTTACGCTTATCATCAGGCAGAATCACCCTCAAAAGCAGATCGAGGTCTTGCCAGTTAGGATCATAAGACCGTATTACTAGTGCCAGTTCTGCTTTAAATTTTACCGGGTCCTCTTCTACTGAGGGAAAATCTTTGGCCATGGCGTGTAATTCGGTTTTGGTCCAGGGTTGGTAAACCCGCATACGCCCTCCTTGTGGGTTTGGGACTTCCCGTAAAGGATAAGCAGCGACGGGGCTATTATTCCCCGACTCAATACGTGCCACTGATCGTTGTCCCTTAGGAGTTGCTGGCTGGAGGAGAATAGTGCTTCCCCCAGAAATCTTATATGTAGTTGGGAACACCCCTGTTCCTTGTTTTTCCTTCTCAGTCACAGCCTGGCTTCCTGAAGCTACTTGGGGCTCGGGAGCTGGAGGTGGGGCTGGGAAT